TATATATACACACACACACATGTGTCTGTGTATTCCCTCATTCTTATTTTTCGCTGGAAATATTCAAAACCTTCAAAATTTCTTGCACAGAAATATTTATGAAGTTTATTAGAAAAGCAATAAATAATCTTGTTAACCATTGAACTATGGCAGATGTCAGGAGCAATTTACAGAACCCAAAAGAAGAATCAAGAACTCAAAATGAAGAAAGCAGAGAAACAGATTTTTCCCATATTCTTCAGATTATAGAAATGTTTCCATTCTATTAGTAAAAAGTTTTGTTTTATTTTCTGTTGTATTTAAACATTAGAATCAATTCCATTTTAAGTTTATAGATTATGTTAATACAGAACCTCTAATCTAAACTCCTTGATTTGAAAGTCGGGTTGGACGAGTTTATAGATTAGATTATCAAGGTATAAACATCCTAGGATCAAATTATACACCAATAATCTGATATTTTTTATTTACATATTACACACCTATTTTAAGCCTTGTAAGCAATATGACTTGATAGAAATACAATCAAATGATATATTTAAATAAAAATCTATGGATCAAATTTTGACTAAATTAAAAGAAGTTTGAATGATAGAACCTTAAATAAATAATGTGATCTATCTGCATTGGTATAACTAAAATAATTCCAGATAATTATGTGAGAATACTTATAACATAGCTTTTGATCTACTTATTAAACACCTAAGAATTTCTTATAAAGATGACTTATCTGATACAAGCATTAGTTTCTGTTTGAAGATGCTCTTTAAATTAATATAAAAAAAAATTAATTATTAAAATTCAATTAATAACTCTTAAAAAAAGAAAAGATGCTGAATAATTCTAAAAATATTTGTGAGCAATTTTTAATTCTAGGCAAATTTGATAACATTTTGTTGGTTATTTTACAGACACCACTTTGCACTTTTCCATCATATTTAATATCACATAGATTACAGTCAGATATTGTAGTTATAATAGCAAATAACGATATATAATCTCACTTTGCAATAGTTTCTGAGGGCATACAAATTGCTTCATCCTGGTTAGCATTGGCATTGACTATTTCATCTTGAAAGGTACACTTGCTGATTTTGTAGCACCTTTTCTTCCCGATCTTTGATGAGCTACCCATTTTGCCAGACCAACAGAATGTGGAAGAATAATAATTCAATAATAGACAGGTAGAGTAGTGGTTATCAGCACAGAAAGTGAAATTGAAAAGCCAAGTTCAAATCCCGGCCAAGTCTGTTCAGTTCACTTTCACTTAAGTGTCGATAGGAAGGGCAGGATTCTTTCTTCTCCCCCAGTTATGTGTTAACTAGCAGGATAGACTCTCTAATCTTGCATGACAGCAAATCTAGGAGAAGGACACAATTGAAAACTGTGGAGAAGATAACAGGAAACCACTCTGCTATCTTTTCTAAGAAGTCATGACAATTCACAAATAATAAAGAAACATAATCTATGGAGAATAATGACAGTCGACATCCTAAAGGGACATGGTACTTAAAAATAAATACTTGTGACCCATAAATTATGCATATCTCATATCTCTAACCCTTAAACAGCAGGAAAAGGTTGCACAAACATGTGCATAATATGGGTAAGAAGTTCTTATATATAAAGTCTGAATAAAGACTAGTGTGTATCATTAGAGGAACAGGACAGCACAGTATCTTGCAGTTCCTAGTTCTACTAAAATGGTTTTATTCATCTGAAACTGTTTTCTGTAAATTTTTTATGACAGAAAACTGTACTTTAACTTTTTATATTTGCCTGATTATAGCTTTATTGTTTAATATTTAACCTATTCCTACAAGCACAATTACTACAATATTATATATATATATATATATATATATATATATATATATATTTCTGAGATGAGCTATTGTAACTATTTACTCTATTTACATTCTTCAGACTGTTGTTCTCATCTTTGTTGTCATATTCACAACATTTTGGCCATTGTACACTTTGGCCTTCTTCAGGTGATTGGAATAAAGGGTTCAGTTTGAAAATCCAATTACCTGAAGAAAGCCAGAGCATACAGCAGCCGAAATATCATGAATATAGCAACAAAGATGAAGACAACAGTCCAAACAATGTAAATATTGTATATGTGTGTGTGTTTATAATAGTGTATAATAAGGAAATATAAGAATATCGGCCCATTTCCAATACCTATATTTTCTCTTCGGTACTGATAACAGTATAATACTGGTAAGAACAAAAGAAGTAATTTTTTTAAGGATTTTTTATGCTTATTTTCACTTTAATCCTATACAAAAAAACTATAAAAAATATTAGATTCTAAAATTAAAGGAAGCAGGGTATTAAAGCGAATGTTATGTTCCTAAATTAATATTTTTTTTTATAGCACGATAATCCTTGAAGAATCGCATGCATAATGAAGTTGTAGATTCTTTGCACCAAGTTATCACCATTTTTCACCATTTTTTTCATCAAGCAAAATATGCATGCAGACATATCAATGTCTTTGTTTTGTTCTTGCAACTTTATTTGCAGGCAAATGCTTCAGGAAATAAATGAATCCTAATAAATATTAAACTCATGAATCCTAGATTCACCAATCTAATCTCAAATCATAAATGAATGGTGCCCATATCACTGGAAAATAAATCATCAATTAACAATATCCGCTAATCTACAGTGAAAAATCTATTGATGATGCCCATTGTTAAAGAGTTAAAGTCATTAGACTTGTTAGAAAATGAAATAAAACAAGTATTAATTATAATATTATAAATTATATTATATATATATATATATATATATATATATTCATCAAGTGATTAGTAGGTTAATGCATCTTTTAAAATTTTGTTAGCAAAGGGATTTCCCATTTTATATCATTAACTTTACTAATTCATTTTTGCATGAATGATTCATTGTAATATAAATATATATATGTATATAAAAATATATATATATAATATTATAACATAATTATAAATATTTTAATTAATTAAAATAAATATTAGAATATTCATTAAATAATTAAATATTAATTTAATATTTATTAATATAAAAATATTAATTAAACAATTAAATACAGGTATTCATTTATAATTGTGTATGGATTAAAAGATGTTTCTGAAAATTTGATATTGCATCTGTAGTATTTGAATATATGGGGGCACCTAAGTCATCACAGACATATATTATAATTATAACATAATTATGTCATCATTATAACTTATAATTATATTATAACTTATAATATATTTAAAATCAGGTGCTCGTGAGGTTGTGAAATATTAAGGAAAAAAACAACAAAACAAAAAGCAAACAATTTTCTGATCTGCCAAATCAAATACGAACAAGCAGTAAACTTTTATGAAGAATCTCTAAAAATGATGCTATGTAAAGACAGCACTCTGCGGGGTTTCACTTCTCCTTCTATGTCCTTTTCAGGATGTGGGCGATCATGGCTCTTCCCAACTTCCTATCCATTGTAGCTCTTAACGATGGTTTATCTTTTTACTCTCTTTTCTTCTCTCTGTTTTGCTATCCACTTACACAAGCTCGTTGCGTAGTTTCCTTGTTTCCCTTAGTCTCTCAGAATATCAATATGTTAATTGGAAGGGATAAGATAGAGAATGAGAAGATACAGACAAAGGTTGAGAGAATTGATAATCTTGGTTATCAACACAGATCAAATTGGTGGAATTAAACAATAGACACTGTGACCAAATATAATCATTTTTTTTAATTTTGTTTTCATTTTTCATATTTCCATATCAAATTACAGTTCAATCCTGAATATCAATTTCTTTTTATTAAATTAGATAAAACTTAATATGGAAGCCAAAACAAAACATGTTCATGCCACATGATTTTTTTTTTAATTTAAAAAATACTTGAAATTCATAATCTGTTATACTAATACTGTTATATTAATCTTCATTTGAATATCTTACTAGATTTTTTCTGTTTTTAGATTTTTTCTTAAAATATGTTTATTCTTTTATATTTGAATTTAAATGTAAAATAAAGCTGAAAAAGTAATTTAATATTTTTATAGTATACCTGAAGATTTTATAAAGATCTTTCACTGCCAAGAAAAAAAAAAAAAACATAAAATGCTGATAATTATAATTTTTTTTTAAATTACTCATCTATATAATAAAATATTCCACACATTTTTCTGTAATTTGATTGTTTTAGAGAGCTATCTCTCTTGCACTGGTGACACCAGATGTCAGTGTCTTGTTTATTAAAATGATTAACTGTTTAAGTACGTTTATGAAGTGGAGAATACAAAGTGACATGTGAAAGAGTATAGAACAATAATAATAATAATAATAATAATACTACAGTGGCAAACATTATATATATATTGAAGCTATAAACATGAATTAAAAATAAATCCATTTAATTCTAAATATATATATATGAAGGCAAGGGGTACTGAAAAGTTATCTGTTCGACCAAGAAGATTCTGGTACGTGGGTCAGGCTGATAACTTTTCAGCATCAGTTTTCTTTTCAAACCTGAGTCTTTTAAAGACTCACATATGAAAACCTTTAAAAAGATTTAGCAAAATATCGATTTTTATAAGCTGTCAAAAGTAACGACATTGGTAATTCTGACATTAAGCACATGACAGAAGTGTTAGGCACCCTATCTAGATTCGAACCCTTTTCACTTTTCAGTAGTATAAGTCTGCAAAAAAAAAAAGTGTAGATAAAAAAAGAACCTAAAAAAAAACTTTTTAAAAGTTAGTTTTTGTTTTAGGAAAATTCATAATAATCTAATTTAGAACAACTAAGGCTCGAATTATTATCGAACCGTTTGGTAATTCTTATAGCAATAAAGAATGGTTAAAAAAAAGTTTTATAAAGACTCGTAGAAAAATCAAACGACGGACTTTTTGGTTGAAGGCGCGAACACACGTACACAGAGCACATGCGCGCGCACACGCACACAGGGAGAGAAACGTAATGGGAATCTGTGTGATTATATACGGCTACCTTTTACAGTCTCTCCCTGCCCTCCTTCCACCTAACTGTTGAATGAAATAATCTCGCTGTTTTTGCTTGGTTAGTTTATTGGAGAGGAATGACAGATAGATTGATGGATGCAGAGGGGTAAGGCAGGAAGAAGAATGAAAAAAAATAAGGAAGGGAAAGTAAAAATTAGCAGCGTCGAGGTGAGTGCCGAAACTCGACTTGTACACACTAAGAAGATGGTTTTAAACTTAGAACAAGGTTTTCTGGTTATGGAACGGTAAATTCACACACACACACACACACACACACACGTACACGTACGCGCGTATGACAGATGAAGACGTAAAGAAAAAAAGAAAGAAAGAAAACGAAAGATAGACTGTATCGAAATGTGTAATTTGTACATTTTTTATGCGCGCGAACACCATTGACGAAGAAGAAGAGTAAGAAAATTTAATTAATACAAATAGATAGCTCACAGTTGTGTAAAAAAAACTAAAAACAGAAGCTTTACAGTTGTTTGAGAATTAGAGCAAGTTGCAAATGGAGAGGGGTGGGAAGTGAGAGAGAGAAAAAAAGAAGATGAAGGAGAGGAGGAAAACAGATTAAAAAAGATTGTATTGTGATTTAGAAAGAAAGAAAGGAGAAAAAAAAAAGATGCGGTGAGTACCCAGGAAGAAAGAGATAAAGAAGTTAAAAAAAAAACGAAAAAAAAAAAAAAGTTACGGTCGAATACTGGTAGGGATAAAACCATCTGTGAGTGAGTGAGTGAGTGCTAAGGGAGGAGTAGATGATCACAAGGAGAATCAAAAGAAGAATAAGTAAGTTTGTATGTCTCCAAGAAGAACAAAAGCAGTCATTGGAAGATGATCTTCGAAGCTCTCCTCCTATGCCGTCTTCGGTGTCGCCGCCTGTTACCACCTAACCCAATCAAAGAAGACAACAAGACGAAGTTTGCACTGACAGATGATTTAGCTGCCGATCTGATATGCTGTAGTGTACACACAGCCAAGCCACTCTTCTGGTGGGCAATGTCTGTCTGTCTTCCTCTTCTACACTTCTCTCTTTATAAAGAAAAAAAAAGCGAAAGTTACTGTTTTCGAAATGTTAGAAATGTCGAGAAAAAAAAAAAACTATTGAGCGGGAAATATCTACTGTTTTTTTATTATTATTATTATTATTATTATTATTATAATAATACTTCGTGGTTTTTGTAACTGGTCATAAGCAATTATTTCGAGAAAAAAAAAAAAAAGAAAAAAGTTTAACTTAGTTTGGCACAAGGTTACAATTGTGGGGCACCGAGTGAAGATCGAACTCAGTATGAAACTGCTTTCTTTGACTAGCTCGTTACGTTAATACTTTTTTTTTACGGCGTGACTTTCCTAAAAATTAAAGCTTTGAAATACACAAAAATTCGTTGTTTTTTTTTTTTTCTTTTTTTTAACTTTTTACGGCATTTTTAATTTGTTTTTTTTTTTTGTTCTTTTTTTTTAGTTTTTTTCCCTTCCTCTCCCCTACTTTTACTTATTTAGTAAAGAAAAGGATTGTTATACAAGAAAAAAAGAAAGAAAAAAGAAAACAAAAAACTCGATGTTCAAAACCCGCTTATTTTTTTTCTCTTTCTCTCTTAGTTCATGCTTTTTATCTCCAACTTCCTTTTCACTCTCACTCCGCAATGTAATATATGCAAAAAGTACAATTATGACTTCGGATAGCATCTTCAGATATTTTTCTCTCTGACCGTCTTCTTTCCTCTCCCCAGCCTAATTCTTGCCTGCCTGCCTATATGAATAATCATTGTTAGGGGGCAGAGGCTGGTTGTCTCAGAACTCTCTGTCTGTCACTTGTAGCTGGAAGCAGCACCCCGCCCACCCGCAGCCTGCCTTTTATTTTTTATTCTTTATTTGTTTTTGTTCTTTTCTTTTTTTTCCCTCACTAGCAGCATCCAGCAAGCATGTTCAAAAGTCTTTCCTTGAATGGAACAATCCATCTCCCATTAAATCCCGGCGTTGTCATTGTTGTTCCAACGTCCCGTCCGAACCCTTAAGAACCATCGCTACCATCGCCTCCTCCAGTACCATCAATGTTACCATTTTCTCTAGAATAAGAGACAGAGAGATACGCACACACATTTTACATTTATTACTGATATGTTATATTCTTTGGAAGGTACCACTTTATAAGTCTTCAGTATTGTAAATTTCACCTTTTGGAAAAAAAAAAAAAGTTGGTATGTACCTTTCTCTATATTTGTGATAGATATAGTTGTGTAGTTTTGAACACAATTTTATTTATTTTTCTTTTTTCTTTTTGATTGGTTTAGTCTGAAAGTTCAGTTATTCACTCATAAGTGAAAAGTTAAATTCGTTTCCTAGACGAAAGAATTGAAGAAAAAAAAAGTTTTCTTTTACGGTAAAAAACGTTGTAAAAATAAACATGATTTTATTTTTTTAAAGTTCATCTTTAAAATTATTCATATGCTGTTGTCTTGAAAAGTTTGAAAGTCAGAGATGCAAAAGAAAAAAAAAAAAAGAAGAAAAGCTATAATGAATTTGATTAAGTTGTCGTAGACAGGGTTGAGGCGCTCAGGTGTTCTTCAAGTGAAATTAAGTAATCCCAAAGTGTAAAAAAAAAAAAAAATGATTGAAGTTTATTTCAAATTTGTAATTTTAAAATTTATTGTCATTTATTTATTGATCGATTGATCAGTTTTAATAAGACAAAAATCAAACAAAAAATAAAATGCTATAAGAAATGACAGTGACACACCTATGACGTTTGGGGATGAAGGATGGAGGAGAAATAGCCACACATGGGTAATAAGGGGAAAAACTTGATATTTAAACTCCAGCCATTAGTTTTTGTTTTATAGATATATATATCCAGCATTACTTTTGGGGGAAAAGAACGTTATTTGGCGGTGTTTTTTTTTTTTTTTTTTTTGCTTTCTTTCTTTCTTTCTTTCTACGTCTGCATGTATTATTGCTATTACGAGTAATTTCCTTTCAAACGAGAAAAAAAAAGACAATACTTTAAAAAACACGATTTTTATGTAATTTGTTTTTAATCATTTCTTTAGTTTTTATGAATCGATTATAATTTTTACCTCTCTTTTGTTAAATATTTTCAAAACTGTTGTTAGTGAACTTTCTATTTTTAAAATTAAATTTCTTCATTTTTTAAAAAAAAATTTTTTTCTGAGGAAAATTTATTTCCCAAATTTAATTACCCAGGAAAAAGAAAAAAAAGAACTTTCAACAACAACAACAAAAAAAAATCAAACTAAGATATATATATATCTATCTTGTTAAATGAAATAACTCATGCGAAAAAACAAATAAAAATTGAAATATCACTCACCAGTGAAAATATTAATGATAAATTTTAAAAGTAAACAATTTTACAAAGTCCATAATATTCATTGGTTGGATAATGTAAAAGAATTTCAAAAACTAGCAAAAGTTGATTTTTAAAATTAATTTTATTTCCATTAAATCAATTTGGTTTTTAGTTTACCGAACATCTTCAAGAAAAAAAAATAAAACATGACATTTCTATTTTAAATTTCTTTTTGTCTTCAATTTACATGATATTGGAACTGAAATCAACATACTGTTTTCAAGTTTATATTTGGTTGTTCTTATAGACAAGACAGAAAATACTGCCACAGATTTTATAAGCATTAACAAATATAATCCTCAATATTATCTTTAACTTTTGAGTTTTTTTTTCTTTAGATAACTTGAGAATCTTTACATAAATTAAATTTCCACTGTGTCATTGTTTCTTCAAAAGAACACTTCCTTTAAATATCCTCAATAAATGTCATGACACACTGAGGTGAATACTTGCTTTGAAATATGAAAACCTGTAAAAACAAAAGAATTATTATTATTATTATTAAACTCTTTAATTATTGCTGATTAAGATCTGATAACCTTTACTTCTGGGTAAATATACACACGTTTTTTTCTTTTGTGGAATCACATGTGTTTTGTAATTACACATTTTTTTTGCACATCACCATCTTCTGTCTTTTTGAATTCTGTTCTTTTATTGTCCTTTCTCCACACTCAAAGTTCTTTCACTCCCAGTCACTCTTTGTGTCTTAGGTGGTTGAGGGTGAAATGATTAAAAAAAAAAAAAAACAATAAATGTAATTTTTTTTTGTTTTTTTTCCAAAATAAAGACCACCTCTTCTCTATCCACCTCCACAACATTCTGAATGGAAGCTTGTTCTTTTCATTCTGATATGAATGTTTATCAAATTGTTAAATTAAAACTTTAGGATATTATGAAATAATCCTTTTATTTATTATTATTACCACCAACATGTAATGTTTTTGTTTTTTCTTTTTATTTAATCATAATCTTATCATAGCTAATTTTTGGCAAAACGTTTTTTTTAAAGATTTGGGGTCACCTAGTGAGGATCAATAGCGACCAATTTATATGAGTAAATACTGTTTGACATATACTACTGTTTCTTTACTCCACACTGCCTGGCTAAAGAAAAGGGGGATTAAATTCTAAATCCTTGACTATCATCTTTCAGTATTGGAATTGTTGACATAAGGATGCAGTACACTTGACAGTAATTACATGGACACCCTTTTATCATTACTTGTTGACACTTAGCAGGGGATTAAGGGACCCAGTATTTTAGTATTTGTCATGTTTCTTTATTTTCTTGGATATTGTTTCCAGAACACAAGACTATTCAAGAGTAATGAAGATAGTCAACTGAAATTGTCTGTGTTTATATCTTGTTGAAAAGTATTAAATATTATTGAATAATTAATCCATTTTTGGAATGGGGTTGTTCTTTAATGAGTAAGAGATTACATTAATATTTTGGTTATGAAAAGAATCATGATTTTGAGGGTGTTAAGTTCAGCTTTGTGGAAATAATGTTTTTTTTTTGTTTTACATTAATTAAAACAAGAGTTAAATATCAGGAAACATATTTTGGCACAAAGCAAATTGTTTCTGTAAAATACATTCATTTAAAAGATAACTTTGTTTCATCATTGACAGAATTTTACCCACAAACTATGAAGAATTGAAATGTGTTTCATTAACAGTTCTATAGATGGCAAAAAATTTATCCGACATTTAATAGATTAAGATTACTTACATTAATTGAATATAAAGAGAAATTTTCAGAAAAGTCTGTTTTGAGTGCAGAATAAGTTAGACATTTTTAATATAATAGATTTAACATTTTTTTTATTGTTTATGAAATTTGGTGGCAGGAGTTTTTATAAGAAACTTAGATGTTTTTTTCTGTTTAACCTCATGTAACAAAAAAGTTGAAGGGTGTGAATTTTATATTTCTCACTTCAAAAATATTGTAAACTCATTTACTTCATGAATCGTATAAATAACAGCGCATATATTTTTGATAATTACTGTCTTGACAATTTGTGTTTTCCTTAATTTCTTATTTAAGGTTGAAACCTGGTTATGAGGACCTACACCTCATCTTTGGCTAACTATATTGTTAGAAGAAAAATTCAAAATGACGTTCACAAAACCAAATTAACCTTAATGAAGAGGATGCTGAATATTTCTCAGTTTGAACAAGAAGCTCTCTTCCTTCACAAAAGAAATGAGTCAGTTTAGGAACTTCAGCAGCCTCCCCCCCCCTAAATATTACTTAATAAAAACTGTAGGTTGTAAAATATAAATTTGATTGTTCTAAATCCTTTTTCATATTAAAAACAAAAGAATACAAGTTGAAGTTTAAATATATTTGTATCAAATTATAGAAATTATTATCTTTTTAATTAATTCAATTTCATAGCCGAAATAAAACTTTATGCTGTTTTATTTCATTCGTTGAAAATAGAAAAGCATTGGAATGATGAAGAAATTTATTCTTACTTAGATTGCTTTTAAACTTTTTACAAATTTGCATTTATTTAAAAGTAATTGACTTTTCTTCCTACTTTACCTTATGGCTTAGAATTGCTTTCATGTTTTCCCGCTTACCAATAATAAACAAGATGAAAAATTGAAACTGCTAGGAAATTAAAATGATTTCTATATACACACACAATATATATATATATATATATATATATATAAAGGCATCTTGTTGATTAATGGTAATAGTGAATGCTTTAATTAGTACTGTAAAGAAATTTTAACTTGTTGAATGAAATTCTCTATTTAACCACAAAGCATAATAATTATTTGTTTTTGTCATCCAATGAAGAATACTTTTGTCTTTTTTAAATTATTAAATAAAGGTAAAATTTGGCGGCGGGGGGGGAAATGTCAATCATTCTTAGAATGAGCTTTTACATAATAACAACAACAATAAAAAAGCTATATCTGATTATTATTATTATTATTATTCAAAAACAGAAACAAATCCAAAATTCTTTAACTTGTGCATCCTCTTCCTATCTTTGGAATTTATCAACTGTTGATTGTTTGAGAGAGGGAGTGCATTTAAAAAGCAGAAAGGACAAACCTCTACTGTTTACTTTCAGTGCCTTGCATATGTGTTTGGCAGACAGCGAATCAAGTGAATCTATATATAAAGTTATAACAATAGGGATGTGCTTTCAATGGATCTGTGAACTTCAGATGATCCATTCAGTAGTGGCTGAGATCCTCTGTCTAACCCTTCTGCTAAAACAATTGAGGGCTAAGGTCTCTTTTTGTGGGATTCTTTGGTTTGTCTTGTGTGTTTATTTTACAAACTGAAAGACTGGGTTTCTCCTTCATTCCTGGCTTGACTCCCTGCTACTTTTGGAGAGAGGCTGGATGCTTTGGATGATGGAGCAGTAGCAGTAGCAGAGGATGGAAAAGTGGGAGGGGAATGTGTAAGGGAGGGAGGAAGGAAAAGGAGAAAAGGCGGAGGAAAGAGTAACTGTACCTTTCTCTGTCTTCATCATCATCTTCCACCACTACCGCCAACAGCACCACCTCCACCTCCTCCTTCATATATTTCTCTATCTCCTCCTTCTCTTTTTTTTTTTTTATTTTTAAACCATCTTCTTTTACTCCTCCCCTCCGCTTTCTCTTGTTTTTGCCCTCCTCCTTTTATTCTTTTCCATTCCCTCCTAGTCTTTGTCAAGAAAAAAAGATAAGAAAGGAAAAAAAATAGGAGTGGGGTACAAAAGAAAAGGGAGAAAGAAAGAAAGAGAAAATAGATGGTTCTTTATGTTTTTCATCAATAAAAGTGCACAAAACTACAAAATACATTAGAGCTTTAAACATTCTAGTCTTATTAAGGAAAAAAGAAAGGCTCCACCATCACTGGCATATCGGTTTACTTCAGTTTGGGCACCATGATTGTAGAGAACGGTTTCCCTGTTCTGAAGTGAGTTTCTTCTTCTTGTTTACTTATTTTCTTTACATGACTTACAATTTTCGTTTCTTTTGTTCCATCTTTTGTCATAATTCTTTTTATTGTTTTTTGTCCTTTTTCTTTATCATGCATGGCTTTCTTCTTTATTTATTTCTTCACTCATTTTGAACACTTATTGTTACGGCATCTGTTTTCTTCTTCATTTACTTCAACGCAATCTCAATGTACAGTCCACTGTTTTTGTGCACGTCTGTTTCTCTTTTCATTTCTAAATTCCAAGTTAAAGAAAAATTTCTCCACTGTTTTGTTATCGAAACACTTGTACAATACATTGTTACTTCTCACTGACCATCTGTTTGATAAATGCGTAGTAAAAGATATCCATTTCCCTTGTTGTCCACTCATTTGTCTGTCTTTAATGCTTGTTTAAGGATACTATTCATTTGACCAGTGGTCATTAAACAAAGACAACAGATATTTGATTAACTGTCTTCATCTGTAAGCAACTAGTGGGGGATGGGTCTGTGTATGTGTGTGTGTGTGTGTGTTTGTGTAATACTGAGACAAAATGTTCAACAAGTTGCTTTTTTTTTGTCTAAACTTCTATTTTCTTACACATTTTTCTATCATTGATAAGATCTTAAAAATGAATTTCTGTAAAATTTGTCAAGATTCATAATTCCAAAATAGACAAACATCAGTAGAAGTGATTCTTTGACAAAGCTGTACCTACAGATAAACTTTTGTTTGAATTTTATATCATAGTCATGTATAACATTTTCAAACAATTAGATAAATATTGTGAATAATGTGAGTTAGTTTTGAAATACCCATTTTAAAAGAAACAAATTCTTAAAATATTACAATGAGATAAATTTCAATACAGACAACTTGGAAAAAAAAGTTCATTAAAATAGTCTTGAAAAAAAACTAAAGTTCATTATACTCTTGAAAGACATTAAAATGGATATTGTTATTTGACTTTTTTTTTTTTTAGAATTGCATTTCAGTATTGCACTGATTAGTCTGAATAATATCCCATAATGTTATCTTTTATTAAAGATGTAGATAATAGCAAAAATAGAAATGGAAAGCAAAAAAGCATAGAAGATAAAACTCATAAAGGTAAAGAAAAAAAAAAAACAACAGACACTTCATTGGATTTCAAAGTACTAATGATTACATTTTAGGTTTCTTTCTTTCATTTTCATTGAAAGCATAAGCTTATAGAATTCATTTATTCAAGTGAAATTGTTCAAGAAAGAATATAAAAAGGTTAAAATTAAAAGAATAAAAGGAAGTTTGTTGTTGAAAATGAATTTCATTTTCAATGGAATTGATTGTTAAGTGTAGGCCAAAACAACTTTTTTGTTTTTTCAGGATCCTGTACTTGAATTCCAATAGTTTTTTTGCCAATTGTTGAAACAAATTCAAGAAAATAACTTTTATAATGAAAACATTTCTCAGTCTTCTCTCATTTCCGTTGCTTTCCATTTTGCACATGTTTAGGTGAGTGCGTGTATACACACACACACACACACACACACACACATATATATGTGTCTGTGTGAGAAAATAAATCTATGTTTGATATTTTACTTTCCCCACACACCTCACTTTATATTCATTCCTGTCTTATAATCGGATGCATATTACAATTCCTGCTAAATCTGATTGACAAACATAACATTGTAATTTCAAAGGGAGAAAAAAAAAGAAGAAATTTGATTGCCTTTTTCTTTTACACCTCTTCATTAACTCACTCCATCTCTGAATTGTTAAGATTCCATTATTCTCCCCCAAAATACATCATTGACACCGGTGGGTGACTAACACATCCCTGACTAAGCTACTTTCTTGTTGCATGACTCTCAAACTTCATCAACTCCATCACCATCACAACCCCTTACCCTTATGAAGAGCACCAGAAAGGATTTATTTTTCACCATCTTTAATTGTAAAAAAAAAAAAAATCAATTTTTTTTTTTAAACCAAATTAGTCAAGCACAAAACTAAAAAGGAGAGAGAAAAAATAATTTAAAACATTTACGGAGTCTTGAAGTACATTGAATTCTTGTCATTAAATCATAATTTTCATACAATATTTTTTTTTCCCCAGAAACAATATGATTTTGTAAAGTACAAGAAATAAAAAAGTACAAATGTCATCATATTACTGTTGAAGCCCCTCCCTCATTTTAGGGTAAAAAAAAAATAAAAAATTAAGCTCTTTTATTAAAAGATGACTCACTATTACTTTTATACATTGTATTTCTGTACACTTTTTAAAAACGTTTCATTCAATTTTAGTTTTAATGTTAAAATACAAAAGGAAATCTCTTTCAAAAAGAAAAAAAAAACAAAAGCAAAAAGGTTTCTTTTAATGTGTAAAATAATTTCAACATTACCAATTGTTGCTGAAGGTGCAAACAATAATCTTTTCTAGTAATTTTTTTTTTCTTTTACAACCTGAAGATTCTAAAACTAAGAAGAAAATCCCAACCCCAAACATTGGTTTTCTTTTGTGCAGATTTCATTTAGAAATTCTTGTTAATTTTTCATTGAATTGAATTAGGTATTTTGTGTTGACTTGTACATCATCCAATAAGAATATGAAAGATGAATGCAACAGATTCTTTTTTTTTTTTTTTTAAAATATGAGGGAGCTGGGTGGAGTAAAATAAAATTCTGAACAGTAAATAGGAAATACAAAAAAAAAATGTATAGAATTTAAACAGAATGCCTAGTGTTCAGTGTATTTATGATTTTTTTTAAAGATTTCTTTTCAATTTAAAGTTAAATTTCTCATGAAATTTTCCTATTATTTACTTGGCTAATTCATTAATGGCATATGTTTTTTAAAGTCTTCATTTGCTAACAGCAGGCAGCATAAAAGAATTTCATCAAATTACTCAATTTACAATAAACATTGAGAAGAGCTTCAACTTATCAATGTTACTAATGAAAACAGAAACAAAGGCAGAATATTAAAAAAAAATGGATGGAAAAACACAATACTTAAATAATCATTATTTATTATCTGACAAAATAAAGTCCTTAACACATAATTTTGTATCAAATTCTATAAGATGTATCATTTTTACTTAAATATATTAAACAATAATTTTTCTTTGTGTGACATAAGTAAACTTTTTATACATTTTAAATGAGATAAGTAATGACAGTAATATCTTCTGAAAAAAAAAACGGTATTACAGAAATATAAGAAAAGAATAGACATGCATTCCATTTATTTTCTTTACCAATTTTACTTTATTCAAAATGATTGGCATGATTATATAATATCTGTATGCGAGGAATTCCATTACTGCTTGATTTTTTTTTAATTTTTCATAGGATATTCCATGTTATATTTTGTTGTTGGGATCTTAGCTTACTTTATAAAAAATATTGTTTAATTCACAGTTATTTTTACCTGGGCTTACAATTATATATAAGAACAAGTAAAACAATACATTTAGCAACATTTAAAAAAGTGTTACAAAAATGCATAGTTCAAAACTAAGATAAAAGAAACAACATAGGAAAAACTTTTCAAACAAAATTTTAAGAAATAAATTAAAAAAAGTGTTTCATACTTTAGTGAGAAATTGAGTGGGTGACTAACATATCCTTGATTAATATTTAAAAACTTTTATAAAATATTTTCTCTATCTAATGTATAAGAAAATATCTTATTTTTTTCTATTGAGAAGTTTCAATTTCTGGTTTGTTTACAATATTGATGTTGGCAGTACGCTGTTTTTGCATACAACATAAATATTTAGCATTTTATCAAAACTGAATGATTTCTTTCTTTTTAAACTAATTTCCTGATCTGTGCGCAACAATCCATGAATTGATCATAAGTCATTTGTTGAAATACATCGATCTAAAATAGAATCTGAGAATATAAATTATATTTAAGAACTACATTTTGCACTTATGTCAAACAGATTTAGAACAATAATCAGACAAAACTTTTTCATATTTTTGTTGTTACGAGCTTCTAAGTAAAGTATGAAATTGTTAATTTGCAAGTTGGATAAACTCATAAATGCAGGTTATAAAATAAATACATACAAGTTTTTTTATTAATGATTTTTATTATGGAAACATTGTATCGGGTAGAAGATTTTTATCTGTACAATATCACAGGTTTAAAAAAAATAAGTGCATTAAACTTTAAAAAAATGTGTAAGTTTGACAGTATGTCATGTATCAGCATGATATAAAATCTTTTTTTCTTTTACTTACAATTCGAATAAACTCAAATAGTTACACAATGGTTTTCAGTTGGTACCAACAAAATATATTAAAGTTTAAGAATATTGAACTTTTATTCAAGAAAAAGTATTTAAGTTTATCTCATTTTATTTTTTTAAAAAGGAAGCAATGAAATTTTAAGTATTTAAAATATTTTTTATTGCACTTAAAAAAAATGTTTGATGAATGTCATTTAAGAAGTTTACATATTAACATTTAACCTTTGGATACCGAGAAGGTATTTTCTTTCTATGTTAGTGCAATTATTTTAATTTTTTATTTTTTATCTAGATGATGAATACGACTAAAATATATATATAT